TTCAAACTCTTGTAGAAGTAACATCCACCGGAGTAACTTGGGCTTAGCATCCTGCTTAGTTAACAAATACTTCAAACCTGCATGGTTAGTGTAAACAATCACCTTTGAACCTAGTAGATATGACCTAAATTTGTCAAATGCACACACAATAGCCAATAATTTTTTTTCTGTAGTAGCATAATTCTTCTGTGCATCATTAATAATTTTACTAGCATAGTAAAAAAATGCAATAATTTGTCTTTTCTTTGGCCTAGTACCACTCCCACAGCATAATTACTTGCACCACACATCAACTCAAAAGGCAGTGAAAAATCAGGTGCCATGATTATTGGTGCAGTGATCAATTTGTCTTTCAAAATATTAAATGCATGCAGGCAGTCATCAGTAAACACAAACTCTTGTTCCTTCCCTAACAACTTGCATAAAGGTTTTGCAATCTTGGAAAAATCTTTTATAAAGCGTCTATAAAAACCTGTGTGACCAAGAAAACTTCTCACACCTTTGATATTTATGGGAGGGGAAAGTTTCTCAATAACAAAGATTTTGGCTTTATCCATTTCAATTCCTCTTCTGGACACCTTGTGTCCTAAAACAATACCTTTTGTCACCATGAAGTGACACTTCTCCCAATTTAACACAAGATTACAATCTTGGCATATTTTTAAAACACCATCCAAATTTTCTAGACAGGCATCAAAAGTAGGACTAAATACAGAAAAATCATCCATAAAAATTTCAATGCATTTTTCTACCATGTCAGAGAATATGGAAAGCATGCACCTTTGAAAAGTTGCTGGTGCATTACATAAGCCGAAAGGCATCCTCCGGTATGCAAAGATTCCATAGGGGCAAGTGAATGCAGTTTTCTCCTGATCTTCTGGAGCCACAACTATATGATTGTAGCCTGAGTATCTATCTAAGAAGCAGTAGAAAACATGTCCTGCTAATCTCTCTAGCATTTGATCTAGGAATGAAATAGGGAAATGGTCCTTCCGGGTTGCTTTGTTGAGTCTTCAGTAATCAATGCACACTCTCTAGCCAGTGACTGTTCTTGTGGGAATTAATTCATTGTTCTCATTCCTCACAATAGTCATTCTTCTTTTCTTGGGCACCGTCTGCACTGGACTCACCCAAGCACTATCTGAAATAGGATAAATCCTCCCAGCATCAAGCAACTTCACCACTTCCTTCCTAACTACTTCCTTCATAGTAGGATTGAGTCTTCTCTATGGTTGCCTCACTGGTTTAACCTCCTCTTCCATCAATATTTTATGAGTGCAGAAAGAAGGGTTGATACCCTTAAGGTCTGAAAATGACCAGCCCATGGCTGTCTTGTTCTTTTTAAGCACCTCAATCAACTTTACTTCCTCCCCTTCAGACAACAATGCATTAATGATCGCTGGGTAGGTTTGATCATCTCCAAGAAACACATACTTGAGATTTGAAGGAAGTTCCTTCAGTTCCACCTTGGGTGCTCCCTTAGAAATATCATCTACTTTCTTTTCTAACTCTTCAACTTCCGGTTCCTCCTTATAATACTCCACACTTGTCTCCTCCTTGAATTTGTCTTCCTCAAGTGAAGAGTTTTCTTCTTCTATCACTTCTTCCACAACCTTTTTGTATGATATCAATTCTGAAACAATCATCCACATCAACAGGATGTTTAATAGCTTCAAACACATCAATGGTGACTGTTTCTTCATTCACCCTTAACATCAACTTTCCTTGTTCAACATCAATCAAGGATCTTGCAGTGGCTAAGAATGGTCTCCCTAGGAGTAGAGCACTTTCAGTATCCTCCTCTTCCATATCTAGAATTACAAAATCCACAGGGAAAATGAATTTATCAACCTTGACTTGAACATCTTCTACCACCCCTTCTGGTCTCTTAATTGATCTATCTGCTAGATGCAGAATAACATTAGTGTCTTTCAACTTGTTCATCCCCAAAGCTCTGCAGACAAACAATGGCATCAAATTTATACTTGCTCCCAAGTCACAAAGTGTTTTTCCTACTTCCACATCTCCAATAACAATAGGAATGCTGAAATTTCCTGGGTCTTTTAACTTTGGAGGAAGCTTCTTTTGAATCAGGGCGCTACATTCCTCCGTTAAAGCCACAGTCTCACCATCTTTCAACTTCCTCTTCTTAGACAAAAGATCCTTCATAAATTTTGCATAGTGAGACATGTTCTCCAAGGCTTCAGCAAATGGAATGTTGATCTGCAGTTTCTTGAAAATATCCAAGAACATTGCATAATGCTATTTCTGAATTTCTTGCTTCAACCTCTGAGAATAAGGAACTTTGGCATATGGAGATAGATTAACTGGATGGTCTTGCTTGTCAGCCATTTTCTTCTTCTCCCACTTCATCAACTTCTTGGGTGAATAATTGTTTTCAACAACTACTTCATCTTCTTTTTTATCTTCCTTAACTTTTTCTTTTTCATCATTTTCGACTACATCATCTTCAACAACAACTTCTTCCTCCTCTTTCATTTCTTCCACTTTCTTCTTAACCGGTTGAAGCACAAGCCCACTTCTAGTAATGATGGACTTGCAATGCTCCTTTGGATTTACCATTGTATCACCAGGGAACATCCTTGTGGTCTCTCAGATATCTGTCCAGACAACTGACCAATTTGGGTCTCCAAATTCTGGATGGATGCTTCCTGGTTCCTGAATGATGTTTTTGTCTCTTGCATGAATGCAGAAGTTTCTTCTCTGAAGGAATTCGACCCCTAAATATAATCTTGAGTCGTCTTAGATAACTGGGCAAAAGCTTTCTCCCATGCAGAGGTATCACCTTGTTGCGAAGAATGTGATGGATGAGGATGCAGTGGAGGATTCAACTAATGATTAGAACTATAACTAAACCCTAGGTGTTGATTCTTATTCTTCCATGGTGGAACATACAAATTTCACCCCTGGTTATTATGATTCCTCTGATCATACCATACCCCATTAACTTCTGCTTTCTGCAGATCCCCCATAATCACAATCGTCTGTAACATGGCTTTTCCCACAAATTGCACACACAAAATTAGTGTCTACAGGAGCAACCTTTTGAGAAGATAGTTGCTTAGTGAGAGCATCCAGCTGTTGTTTTTGCATTTGCATCATCTGATCATTCTTGGCTAACAAAGCATCATAACCGTCAAGTTTTATAATTCCTGTTCTTCTGTCATTCACCAGAGCATTGTCAAACTCTTGAGATGTTAAAGATTCAAATATGTCAAGGGCTTCCTGAGGAGTCTTGGTTGTTAGTGAACCACCAGCTGTGGCATTCACCAATGTCCTTGTGTTGGTTGTCAACCCTTGGAGAAATATTGCTGCTTGATTCCACACTTCAATACCATGTTGTGGACATTTCCTCAAGAGTGTCTTGAACCTCTCCCAAGCTTCATAGATAGACTCTGACTCTTTTTGCTTGAACCCTGTAATCTCAACCTTCAATTTCGCCCTCTATGATTCTGAAAAGAACCGAGCCAAGAACTTAGTCTGCAGATCATCCCAAGTTGTGATACTCCCTTGAGGTAATGATTGTAACCATCTTCTTGCATCATCCTTCAGTGAATGAGTGAACAATCTTAATAAGATAGCATCTCTGGTCACACCATTGATCTTCACCGTATCGCTCAAAAGTAAGAAATTCTCAATGTGCAGATATGGATCTTCTGCACTGGTTTCAGCAAACTGTTCCTTCTGCACCAATTGTACTAGTGCAGGTTTCAACTCAAAGTTGTTAGGCTCCACAGTGGATCGAACAACACTCCCAGTCGGTGGAATGACAGTGGGAGCCATGTAATCTCCCAGTGTCCTCTGTGGTGGTGGCATGTGATTTTCTGCCATGACCTATTCCTGATTTGTCACACTGGATTCACCCATTTCTTGTAGCTTACTTTGTATTGTTGCCTTTCTGTTCTTCCTAATTGTCTTTTCTAATTCTGGATCAAACAACAAAGAGTTTGGATTAATAGTACCTCGCATACACCAGAATTGGAATTGACAAAACTTCACACATAAATATAAATTGCTGAAAACAAAAAGATTCAATCTCAAAAATTAATGGTGTCTGTCATTGTTGAAGAACAAATCCCCGAAAACGACGCCAAAAACTTGTTGCGTCTGTAGCAAGTGTACTAGTCATACAAGTAATAAAATGATATATAAAGATCGTTCCCACGAGGATTTGTGTTCAAACACCAACTAACCATTTATACTTAAGTTGAATCAAACAAAAATTTATTGATTGCATTGATAATTGTCACTAGAAATTTGAATTGTATTAGAACTTAATAAAATAACTAAACTGTGAATTATAATTTTAAAACAAGTAGTCAGAAATCAATGTCCCTCAAGCATAAACTTATATAAGCATCAATCCTATTATGAATTATCTCCATGTGATGTCAATCAACCTTTTTCTTATCACCAAGATTTAATCGCTTACTACCCTGGTTGATACATTAATCAAGAACCCCAATCCCTTGGTGATTCCCTTCTTAATACATAAATTAAGCACTAAGATTTTAAAGATTACATCAGAGTCCTAGTTTCAATCCCTTGAATACTAGAACACTGATGATGAAATTGCTAGTTACAGAAATAATGTAAACATTCATGTTCTACACTACTCCATTAAATGGAAAGAATTGATAAAGACAATTTCATATCATCACATAAAGAATAATCATGATATTCAATAAACCATACATAAATTCATCCTTGAGTTCCATTAAAATCAAACTACAAGGGACTCTACTCAGACATAATAAAAGAAATAACAAGAGAAGAGGAGAGATCAAACTCTATTGTCATGATGTTGAATCTTCAATCTTCAATCCCAATTACATAAAGTATACTAAACTAATACAAGACTAGGTCCTAAGGAATTTTGAATTTCAGAGAAAATAAAAAGTCAATCAGAATGTATATCTAAATGTGAAGGCTCTTTCCCTTTTATAGTTTACAAATTACAACTGAATAACAACCAAAAACTGACATGGGCACTAAAACGTTCCCTGTTGGACGTTTTAGCGTTCAACTTTGACGGATGCCCAACTGCTTTTAACTGTCTTCAGCACTAAAACATTTGACTTGGACATTTTAGCGTTCAAGACCAGAATCTTTTTGAACAGCAGAGCGCTATAACCTTTGCATTGGACATTTTAGCGCTCGTCACCAGCAATATTTGGCTTCATTTTGCGGCAGCGCGCTAAAACGTTCGCTGTGGACGTTTTAGCGCTCAACACTTAGAATTCTTCTATTCTACAGAATCTTCTTCCTTCTCTCTTTTTCTTCTTAAGCTTCATTTCCCTACAAGAACAATGTAAATTTTCAATACATCTTCTAGAACTTGTATTTAGGACTTTCCAGGATATTAACCCTCTTTTCCATCCATTTAATCACACAAATTGAGCTAATTCATGCTTAAAAACCTTATAAACCAAGGGTTTATCAGATTGAGATTCAGTTTTACCTTGGCTGGAAGTGTTTACAACTTGGTTGGTTTTAGGGGAACCAACTGGAGATTTGAGATGAGGCTTCTCTTCATTTTTATCCATGTTGGTCTTGAAGATGAAGTTGAATTTTTCCCCATACGCATTGTACCCTTCCTTTTGAGTTTCCTCTCCCACCTTTATGGCCATGTGCACCATGTCATCTAACTCCACATAATGTTGTAATTCTACCACATTTGCAATTGCCCGATTTATGCCAAGCAAAAATCTGGCCATAGTAGCTTCACGATCTTCATCTACATTGGCTCGAATCATGGTTGTCTCCATCTCCTTTAAATAGTCTTCAAAACTTTTAGAATCTTATGTGAGACTTTGTAATTTTTGAAACAAGTTCCTATGGTAGTGACTTGGAATAAATCGCCTTCTCATGACAGATTTTATTTCCACCCATATTTCAATGGGTCTTTCACCATTGATCCCACCAAACAATAGCATAATCAGAAAATTCTATGGCAGCCAACTTTACCTTTTTCAATTCCGAGTAGGTATGACAATCAAACACCAACTCCATCTTTCTTTCCTACTCCAAGTAAGCTTCTGGATCATTTTTTCCTTGGAAGGATGGAATCTTCATCTTGATACTTCCTAGGTTATTATCAACCCTTTCTTCATTACACACTCTTCTTCCTTTATTTCAACGTTCATTCCGCCTAATATCAACCGTGGAAATGGTTTCAACTTCATTTTGATGTTCTGAAGTTTTGGGTTGTTGCGGCCTTATTCAACTCTTTCTATTCTATCTTGCATTTCATCAAACCCGAAGTACAATCTTTCAAATCTCTGTGCCATGGCTTCAAAGTATAATTTGAAATCTTTAGGAATTTGAGCATCACCCTCATGAGACATTTTCTTTTAATCTGCAAAAACAAAAATTGAAATTTCCTCACAAGCACACCCTCACATGTTTCTCTCCCAATTAATAGCTCTTACACTTGTGTTTCAAAATTAGGCTTTTAACCTCTTATAAGCTCACACACTCTTGCCTTTTTCCCTCTTTTGAATTCCCTCTTTTAGTTCTTAGCTGAACTCAATTGAAGTTTTCTTGAAGAAATCCAAACGGATCACAAGATGTAATTACAAAGAGACAAGAAGACTATGAGAATATATTTTTTTATGTCAAGAAATAGGTGTAAAGAAAGGTTGGAATGACAATAAATTTAAGCACTAATAACTGTAATTAAGTAAGAAGGGAAGTACACATTAGAATAGAAAAGAACAAAATTGAAAAGAATTCAAAGAGACAAGTTTTACCTCAAGGAATTTGGATCAGATTCTTTTTTTGATTTTTTTTCTTCCTTTTTTTTTTCTTCTGGAGAAACTAGATTCTGTTTTCTTTTTCTTTCTTTTTTTTTGCTTCTGAAGATACTAAGATTCTTTTTCTTTTTCTTTTTTTGAACAATACCTATGGGACTAGTTGACACAAGAAGGAGAATGAAATAGAAATAAAAAAAAAGGATTAACAATAAAATAAGGATAGATCAAACCTGATTTAGAAGACTAGCTATGATACCAAATGATATGAACCTCACCAAGAATAGTGATACCTAAGACCAATTTAGTTAGGATCGTTTCTATAATCAGGAATTTAAAACAAGAAATAAAGAAACCTGACCCGTTATCTATGGAAGATAAGAACCAAAGGTATAA